AACTCTATGGTTACACTATAACTGACTAATGTTTGCATTCCTTCTGACTCCATATGTTTGTATAAAGATGAAACTTCAGTCAACTTCAGTGTAGCCATGACTAAATCGTTTTACACGAGTATCTAAATACATTTTGCCAGGGCAAAATCTCTTTGGACCTATCTCTTGAGACCTACAGCGGGTACCCGGGTAGGGTCGGGTAGTAAGGGGGTGGGTAACCGGGTAGTAAATTTGGACTCGTCCCAGCCCTAACAAGCACAATCCTATCTTGCTGATCTCCTTCATGTACATGTCCCAGGAAGATCACATAACAAATGTCCCGACATTATTATTATTATTATTATTATTATTATTACCATCATCATCATCATCACCATCTTCATCATCATGTACAGATTAAAATATAAAATGCAGCAAAGAGGGTTTGGGTGATCCTGGCACAGTCAGGCTGGTTAGGCGCATCATCAGCTCAGGGCCCCATCTACACGCAGCCCAGACAGCGAATGGGACTTCTCCCAGGAAGCGCTGCCTTGTCAAACCCACCCAGACCTTTTCGGAGAATGTGAAGACTCCCCAACATTACCCAGATTGTCAGAAGGGCTGTATTCCTGGTAGCAAACCCGGGCACTCTCCCAATGTCAGTCAACAGATTGGGAAGACCAAACCTAAGGCACCGAGAACAATGGGGAGTCGGACAACTTGGTACTTGGGATGCAAGCGTGACATTTCGAAAGCGAGGTCCGCATATTTGCCATGTTTTTCCTCAATCTTGTGAAGCACATGAATGTCAAAAGGGACAGAAAATTCAATGATATAAATGATTTCATTGGCTTTATCAAAAAGTACAAGATCAGGTTTGTTGGCCTGGATACGTCTGAGGCTGTAAATGGGCCTATTCAAAAGAATTTTTTATTTATCATTTTCCATGACGCCCTCTACATATTCCGGGTCGTAACATGGGTGGACCTCTGTGTCAAAACCACAAGCATGGCGGAGACGGTAATAAAATGATCGAGCTACACTATCATGTCGCTTAAGATACGGTGTTTGTTCCAAAGCGGGGCATCCACTGACAATGTGTTGGACAGTCTCATTAAATTCATTGCATAATCTACATTTCATATTTACATTTTGATGCAAAATCACACATTGACGGTTTCGTGTTGGAGGTGACTGGTTCTGAGCAGAAAACAGAAAGCCTTCTGTTTCACTTTTCAGGCCAGACGACTTCATCCAAGCGAAGGACTCTGCGAGATTGCTGATCTTCTCAACACACTGCACATAAACTCGATGCAGTGGTCGTTCAGGGAGCCGCTCCTTGAAAAACTGAGTCTGGGCCGACTAGATATGGCACTTCGCTTGGTTGACACTCATTTCTGTACCGTCCAGCAGTACAGAACCATTAATAAATTCAACACCGACATTGAGATTATGTCCCACATCCTTTAGAAAACTGTGGAATGCCTTGTTTTCATCATGAGTCTTAACATGCTTCACAAGACGATCATCAGACAAATAAATGTGTGCAAAAGTGCACAAAACAATTCTATCATGAAGAGCCCCAATGTTAATCAAACCACGCTTGGTAAATATAAGCGATTGAGGGAAGAGCGAGGGTGGCATGATCTATTGTCTGGCATGATTCTTCGTGTGAGGGTGTCACTACCTTGAATTTCTTATTTCGTCTAATCAACAACACCAAAAGAATATTATCCAACTAGGGCCTCTATGTCTGGGTACAATCATAATATCACATACGTAGATGAACGTATTGTCTACGTATAGATGATAAATTCTTTAGACTGTGGCACAAATACGCTCACACATAGGTAAAATCAAATAGCACAACAAATTCTGAATAAACAAGTTAGACCAGTCCCCCCTCAACTTAAAAAAACTCCAATCGCAGAGAGCATCTCAAGACAATGGCACACATATGCCTCGGCAGTTTATCTGAATGACCATCCTACATTTCTTGAAAGTGTTAAATGTATGTATATCAGGAGATGACAATTCCCAACCACGAGTATATGCTTGTTTCTACGTGTACTGTGAACGTCACTAAATACCAGTATGTATACATTCACAATGTACTACATATATCGGCTAAATTATATCTCACTTATAATTCCGTACATCCTCATGTTATACTTCAATTGTTAATTATAATCAGGTATAGCAGTAGATTCACTGGCATTAACACATGTCTAAGCTACGGCCCTCTTTGTAATTATGTAGTAATGGATTTCATATTTATCGGGGGGAAAGTCAATCTCACTAAAATCAGATCTAAGTTCTCGCTGCCGCTAAACAAAGATCTGAGGACATCCCATTACGGGTCACGTCAGAACAGAGACCATATAATAGACTATTATATGGTCTCTGGTCAGAACGACCTTTCGCGAACTTTGACCGACCACTGAGACGAAGAACAAGAAGTCGACATCAGCCAATTAGAAAGCAGCTTTCTCGAGCTTTACGGCACTCGTTTCAACCTGGCGACTTCCATTTCAGACTACGCTTGAAAAATATGTTGACACTGTTGTCGATTAAAATTTTGAAAACTGAACAAAAGAACAACCCGGAATGTTTAATTGTGGTTACGATTGTATTGTAGTGCTTCCAAAGTACTGTGTAACGCCTCCTCCGTTCAAATGTTTATCCTACGGAAGCGGGAGACAGACGATAATTTTGACGGTAACTGTCGTTCGGAATACCCCGTTTTAACGTGTTCGAGGTTGCATGTTTAGAAAACACATTCCGACTGTCACTTTCATGATCTGGTAAGCGACGCTTTGAATTGTCGGATGAAAGGTCGTTCTGACGTGACCCGTGATGGGATGTCCTCAGATCTTTGTTTAGCGATAGCGAGAACTAAGATCTGATTTTAATGAGATTGGGGGAAAGTATTCACTTCCAAAACAAGGCATGTCGCTTCATGGAAAGTTTTAAAAATAAAATATAGTTTAATAACATTTTGCCCAAAGGATTGTTTTCCATGCGATCTCTTATTAGCTGGCTAGTTTTGGAACACATGCCTCTGAAATTATGCGCAGATGAGAAATTAGCTAACACAGGTATTTCATAATTGATACTGAACAGGCTTCGCTCCATTCCTTTGGTGATATTGTAGACCAACCAACTTGCATACTTTAGTGATAGATGTATAATGAGAACTGAGTAACTACATTAAACAAACTGTATAATGGTATGTTTTATTAAACTCATATAATATTCCATTCCATGCAGTTATATGTATGCGTAGAACATATGGTGTCTCGAAAGTTATGGAAACATCGATACATCGGTATATATCGATACACAGTGTGTTCATTTCTATCACAATGATATTTACCTCCCCTTTGGATGCCTAGGCTGATGTGAATGAAGCAGTTTGTTTTCTTTAATGTCATTTATACGACTATAACCACTGTCCCGCTTTCTGCATGTGTGGTATTTCTGTTACCGTAGTGCCTTATTGCAAGTATCGCCATAACTGAAAGGCTATTTGTGTCGGTACAAATAAAATAGAAACAAAGTGGATTATGTACGTCAGAGATTCTGTGATTTTTTCTAGAACTCTCTAGAACTTCAAAATCAGATGTTACATCAACACAATCTCCTGAACACAGAACAGTCACAGAAATGACAGATTCTTTTACTTGTTTTGTTTTTTTTGTCTAGATTTATCTGGAGAAACTCTACGATGAACATGTTGCTACTAGTCCAAATATAAAGAAATCTGTAAACATGTTTATTTGGACGACCAATGTTAATGACAAACCTTGATACTGTAATTTGCAAAACACAATTAGTTATTTATTCAGCTCGTCATGTTTTGATGTGGTTTTTTGTGTGTGAACAGCCACTGCTATGTCACCTTGCCTGTTGAGTGAGTCTACAGTTGACATTGTATCTGGGAATTTTAAAAACACGAACGTTTGTTGTGCCCTTAAACCTACAATGGTCTTAAGTCTACAATATTCATGAGTGGGCGTGGCTTGTGTATGCACGTGACACTATCTTCCTCAAAGCTGTTGATGTCTAACGAACGCATCGCTGTCTCGGCTGTCATTGCGCGATACGATGTTTCCCTCACAATCTCTACATCAGGTATATAACATGTAGTTTATGTGTCTTTGAATATTGTTCTGGACTATATTTGCGAGCCTCGACTTCGGACAGATCGAAAGTTCCGAGAATTACAGAGTCAACCCAGAGATCTATTATATGGTCTCTGGTCAACCCAACTCGCCTCACTCCGAAACATTCGGTGGTGTACATTAGCCCTGATCGAAACATTGACATGTCTTTGCTATTACTCGCAGATCCAACACATTAAAAACCTCTTGTCATCATGCTCCATACTTATACAATATACCTTTCTCTACTTGTTATATTCAAGAGCAAAGCAATCTCTGCGTGTTGCAAAAGTTGGTCAACTACAAGATGCAACTATATATTTTTTATTTCCGAAACCCTGAAAAGATTCCAGGGAGTAGATTCACATGGTGTCCCAGAAAAAGAGTTATCATGCTTGTGATATAAATATATAAAATAAAATCCAAATGGTGCCTAGAACAATGTTTATTAATCAGGCCCATGGCTCAGGCAATTAGGACTTGCCAAATCATTCTACACTTGAGATGGCTCCCTTTCTCCATTTATTCTAATGTGTCTGAGAGACAGAGGTTCAGGAATGTGCAATCTTCTTTCTGGATAAAAATAACCATATGAACAGATTCTGAACAGAAAATGAAGTAAAAAGTATGAAATTCAATTCCATGTATTAAAGTGACACAACTTTAATCTCCAAACAAAAAATATATGATATGATGCCCTATTTGTATAAAATCTGTTTGGAATTTATTTTTCAAATTCAATATACATCTATGAATAACCATTTGGCAAATAATAAAATTAGATAAAATACATGATCAGTGATGATATTTTCCATTATTCCAGATAATAATAAATGAGCATCTATGGATCTAATTAGATATGAGCACATGCAGTTTAATGTTACTCAAGATGGAAGATCTGTCGAAAAGTATGAACAACATGAAATTAAAAAAACCCAGGTAAAATAGACATAACCGCATTGATCATGATCTGACAGTTTCATCAGAAATAAAAACAGATTTGTTGGTATTAATCATTGCAGAAGTCTTTACTGGAACTTTCTAAGTCTCAAGTAACTTGAAATGCTTTGACATAAGTTTAGTCCCAGTCAATACTACTATTTTTGTAAAGGTGCAATTTTTTCATCTAAATTGTTATTATGACATTCACTCTCTCTCCCATTTCAGAGAAAAAATGGTGGCTTCCTTGGCGTATCAATGGAAACCCTTGAAGCTACAGAAGGTCTAAAGTCTACAATGATAGGGTGGCCCCTCCCTGGACCCCCAGGCAGTCATGGACTGTTGCATAGGCCCCTCCTGATCCCTTTGACGATGCAAAACCCCATCTAGACTGAAAAATTTCATTCACTCTCTCTTCCATTTCAGAAAAAATGGGCGGCTTCCTCGGCGCGTCAAGGCGACAGTCAGTGTGCACCTCAGAGGTTCTTCCAGCTTGCCAGGTGAGCTTCAAACAGCCCAAGGCACCCTAGGAAACTGGTCAAAATTCAAATCCACCTTCTTTTTCTCTCTGTCTTTTTTTAAAGAGCTTGTGTAGACTTAAGACTTTCAGCAGGTTTAAGGGCAGCTATAGGAGCCCTTAAACCTGCTGAAAGTCTTAAGTCTACAATGATGGGGTGGCCCCTTCCTGGACCCCCCAGGCAGTCATGGGCTGTTGCATAGGCCCCTCCTGATCCCTTTGACCATGCAAAACCCCATCTAGACTGAAAAATTTCATTCACTCTCTCTCCCATTTCAGAAAAAATGGGCGGCTTCCTCGGCGCGTCAAGGCGACAGTCAGTGTGCACCTCAGAGGTTCTTCCAGCTTGCCAGGTGAGCTTCAAACAGCCCAAGGCACCCTAGGAAACTGGTCAAAATTCAAATCCACCTTCTTTTTCTCTCTGTCTTTTTTTAAAGAGCTTGTGTAGACTTAAGACTTTCAGCAGGTTTAAGGGCAGCTATAGGAGCCCTTAAACCTGCTGAAAGTCTTAAGTCTACAATGATGGGGTGGCCCCTTCCTGGACCCCCCAGGCAGTCATGGGCTGTTGCATAGGCCCCTCCTGATCCCTTTGACCATGCAAAACCCCATCTAGACTGAAAAATTTCATTCACTCTCTCTCCCATTTCAGAAAAAATGGGCGGCTTCCTCGACGCGTCAAGGCGACAGTCAGTGTGCACCTCAGAGGTTCTTCCAGCTTGCCAGGTGAGCTTCAAACAGCCCAAGGCACCCAAGGAAACTGGTCAAAAATCAAATCCACCTTCTTTTTCTCTCTGTCTTTTTTTAAAGAGCTTGTGTAGACTTAAGACTTTCAGCAGGTTTAAGGGCAGCTATAGGAGCCCTTAAACCTGCTGAAAGTCTTAAGTCTACAATGATGGGGTGGCCCCTTCCTGGAACCCCCAGGCAGTCATGGGCTGTTGCATAGGCCCCTCCTGATCCCTTTGACCATGCAAAACCCCATCTAGACTGAAAAATTTCATTCACTCTCTCTCCCATTTCAGAAAAAATGGGCGGCTTCCTCGGCGCGTCAAGGCGACAGTCAGTGTGCACCTCAGAGGTTCTTCCAGCTTGCCAGGTGAGCTTCAAACAGCCCAAGGCACCCTAGGAAACTGGTCAAAATTCAAATCCACCTTCTTTTTCTCTCTGTCTTTTTTTAAAGAGCTTGTGTAGACTTAAGACTTTCAGCAGGTTTAAGGGCAGCTATAGGAGCCCTTAAACCTGCTGAAAGTCTTAAGTCTACAATGATGGGGTGGCCCCTTCCTGGACCCCCCAGGCAGTCATGGGCTGTTGCATAGGCCCCTCCTGATCCCTTTGACCATGCAAAACCCCATCTAGACTGAAAAATTTCATTCACTCTCTCTCCCATTTCAGAAAAAATGGGCGGCTTCCTCGACGCGTCAAGGAGACAGTCAGTGTGCACCTCAGAGGTTCTTCCAGCTTGCCAGGTGAGCTTCAAACAGCCCAAGGCACCCTAGGAAACTGGTCAAAAATCAAATCCACCTTCTTTTTCTCTCTGTCTTTTTTTAAAGAGCTTGTGTAGACTTAAGACTTTCAGCAGGTTTAAGGGCAGCTATAGGAGCCCTTAAACCTGCTGAAAGTCTTAAGTCTACAATGATGGGGTGGCCCCTTCCTGGACCCCCCAGGCAGTCATGGGCTGTTGCATAGGCCCCGCCTGATCCCTTTGACCATGCAAAACCCCATCTAGACTCAACAATTTCATTCACTCTCTCTCCCATTTCAGAAAAAATGGGCAGCATCAAGCTGGACAGTCATTGTACATGTCTATGTTTAGTTCTCCATGTGATGTAATTAAATCGAAGGAAATTAATATCAAAACTAAAAGTTTATTTCTGTGTTTGATTATGGATTTACTGCAGACTGAATGGATATTAAACGCAATTGTCCTTGTGCCTTATAATGGTTCAGGTTAAACTATACTTTATTAAACTATATATGAGGATAGAGCAACCTTTATATCTGAAAGACATGCTCCATTTGCTTTATCTGCGTGGTTGAACCTTGGCTCTATTAATATCAAAGTTGGCAGTGTAGCAGAGGCTGACATCAACCACATATTAGAATGGATCCCCTACTCTTTTACAATCCATCCACTGGTTTAGATAGAGGGGGGTTCAATTCTCTTGTGTATGATGTTTCTTTGTCCCAATTTCTCCGACAGATTGATTTTTTTATTAATTGTGCATGTACATCTTTTATGCATGTAGTCTGGTGAAAATTTTTGCAGAGTATTACACCCAGAGTGAGCCACCTTATCGCAAGCACAGAGTCAGCGATCTAACCCACTGAGTCTTCCACAAAATGAAAGTCCAACAACTGGTAGTCTGATTTCGTACTTCATGTACACCCCCCACCCTATCATAACCTGTATTTTTCAGTGGAGGTATTATTAGATCTTACCCTGATTGTAGGAAGAAATGTTACAGGAAAGAAAGTTACAGAAATAAAGTTACATGACCAGCATAGCCTGCTTGATACCCAACCTGGAATACCTGTTTCCTGTGCTATGATGTTCTGTCAGTATTGGGTGAAAACACATTGTGTAGTAGTATGCTAAGTGTCTGCACCAAGAATGACTTCCTAGTAGAGAACTTAATTGTGAGGCAGTTAACATTAAGTATAACATTACATGCTAATTACTCACTCAGAACTAGAAATTATGAAATAACTTTTTCATGTTAATTATTGTGGAAAGTATCTTTTTATCTTTACATGAATATATTATGCCTTATTTCGTGTGGTTTCTCTAAATTCTTATATTCAAAACTACAGGGTAAATGTAGAAATAGAAATAAACTTTAAATTTGAAAAATAAATAAATGCCATTATAAATGCATTTGTGAATATGACACATGAACAAGTTACTTCCTTTTCACTATTTACCAATTTTGTCAAATCCTGACAGACTTGGTTCAAATATATTTAGATTTAAAAATGTAATTAAAAACACGACTTTATATCTTGCATGCCATTGCAGAATATTGTAGAATATCATAAGGACTGGTAATTTATATATTTATTGGGGGGTGATCATGAAGAAATTACACAGCAAATAAAGGATGGGGTTGGGGAGGGGCGTTTAATGACAACATGTAGGGGGTCACCAAAATTTATCACAAGTATATTTGGGGGAGTGGGTACGTACAACATAAATGACATGGTTCTGTATTATTTTGAACATGGGTACGTACAACATAAATGACATGGTTCTGTATTATTTTGAACATGGGTACGTACAACATAAATGACATGGTTCTGTATTATTTTGAATAAAAAGATTAAATATTTCATTTGTTATATGTTATAAATGTCAATGAAAATGCAATCTGTATATATTGGGGACATAATAAATGCACATAAAATGTGTGTGTGTGGTGGGGGGGGGGGGGGGGTTGGGGGGAGGGTCTCATCTAAATATGGTCCTAACCAGGTTGATAATTAAGGTCCTCTACCTCCTTCTCACACAGATACCTGTATATTTCCACCCCTTTATGTTTGTATGGTGCTCTCACATGGGGGCAATGTGTTCTTTCGTTCAATACACAACATGCTTTTGATCTAATTAATACAGAGAGCTGGCATGTTGGTGTATGTAGGATGCAATATTATGCAATCCTCAGTACCATGGTTTATGGTCACTGATCTGGTACTGTTCATTCCTCGTTTCTGTCAATCATGATGAATTAGCCAATGAAAACACTTGTTCCATTGAAAAGGCCAATGACCATCGCTTCCTGAAGCTAGTAGCTAAGAATATTAGATTGTTGTATGTGGTTGTTTATTGAATGTGAATGACTTTTCAACTGTGCCAGGTACTAGTCTGTATCAACAATCCATGTGTGTAACATTGAATCATATCTCCTTGTTATATTTCTCTGTTGGATTGGCGCTACAATTATCTGTCCTGATGACAGTTAAACATTGCAGGTTAGTAATATCATTGCTTTAGGCACATACGTTTCAGCATATCTTTAATGATTGACATATCTCAGGTAATTAGCAGTGATAATTGCCATGTATGATACTAACTTCCTCATATCAAATAATTCTTGTTTTGGTAATAATACATATTTTGAAAGTCTTAAAGAGAAGACCTCCAAACCTGAGTATTTGCAGCACCATGTTCATGGGATAGAAATAAAATGTGGTTTCGCAATTTGGACCTGTATTCTTCATTTGTTAAAAAAATATGAAAGTATCATATTTTCCAATGTTTCAAATTGTTTCTATTTGAAGGATTTGTAGAACAATTTAGGGGGTCACATTATGTAGAGAAATAATTGTCTTTTATTGTAAAAAATTAGTAATGAAAATGAAACTGTTCAAATACTAGTCCAAATTTCTTTTCGACTGATCTGTGGATTAAGGGGTTATAACTTTTTATTGTTGTATCCAGCAAGTGATATCATTTGATTGATAACGGTGTAAGAACCTACACTGAAACGTCGCTCTTAATTGTAATAAAGAAGTTGTTCATCCAAAAATTCTTAACCTTGCTCACTATACAGTTTATATATTTTATGCATGTCATTATGTCATAAGAGTCAGTATTACACTAACAGTCAATATGTAGTCACACATAGTTATATAATAATGGAAAGCAGGGGTAAAGTAAACAACTGCATCATTTCTAGTTTGATATAACTTATCTTGGTACATCAAGATTGTATTAAGTTTACTGAACAGAGTGTTTGCTATTTATAAATTAACAGTTTTTAAAAACAAATATTCATAAGACTGAAAATGCAATCTGTATATATTGGGGACATAATAAATGCACATAAAGTGTGTGGGGGTGGGTGGGAGGGGGTGGGGGTGGGTGAGGGGGGTGAGGGGCTCATCTAAATATGGTCCTAACCTCAATCCCATTATAAATTACCCATACCTAAGGTTTAAAATTAAGGTCCTCTACCTCCTTCTCACACAGATACCTGTATATTTCCACCCCTTTATGTTTGTATGGTGCTCTCACATGGGGGCAATGTGTTCTTTCGTTCAATACACAACATGCTTTTGATCTCATTAATACAGAGAGCTGGCAGATTGTAAAAACCAATATTCATAAGACTTGTATACTTCATACTGATATTTCCACACTGAAGAGAGGTACTGCCAGAGACTATGGCAGGATGGGGACCCCAGCAACTGATAAATGGTGATCACATTACAAATGTTCTCCCTGGGTCTGGGCAAAAAACACAAAGCACACATTCAACAATTGTCAACAATGTAGGAAAACTAGTTTCATGTAGTATCATTTGTTTGCAGATGAGATTCCTGAATATCTGTGAGAATGTCAGATGATTTGAGGAAACAGACAGAGTCCAGTACATCCCAACCAATGGCAAGAGTAAGTACCAACACTATGAATTCATACAATGATATGTATATGTTACTTTTTTTAACTCTTTGTTTAGATCAAAGTTAATTTGATTAGGTACTTATGTTTACAAGTTCTACTTACATTAGATATCTAATGTTTTGGTCATTATTGTAAGATAGGATTTGTAGGTCCAGAATAAAATATATTCCTTTCCATTTTGTAAGGCCTTGTAATGATTACTGTCAGTACATCATTTACTTCAGTTCCCACCGGTTTGTTTGTTCAATATTATTAGAACTGACATGCAATGTAACTAAAACAAGTAATGCAAAGTGCATGGTTGAACCAGGCCTTTATTTCTTAGTCTGAAGAAAAGTGATAACTTAATTGTTTCATGTAACTACTTCGTACACAGCAATATTTAAAATTAGACAATAGCTGAACTATTGTGTCATGATGACATCTTGATATGTTTGTTAAGAATGGTATAATTAGTTTGTTCAATAATCATTAGAACAGAACAGGTACTCATACATCTCATGTTCATCTATTTTTCTGAAGTAATATTGCTTAGCCTTTGTATGATGTGGTGATAACTTCATGGTGTGACAATCTGTCCATTATACCATACTGTGAGTATGTATACCCAAATAAAGACACAAACTAAAGAGGAATCTTAGAAGATAATCATTAGCTCACCCTGGGGTTAGGCTGTGTGTCTGCTACTGATCTATATAACACATTCTGCATGTAATTAGCTACAAACCACATGGACATTTCCCCACACAGACAGTTCCCAACACTGACAGTTCCCAACACTGACATTTCCCTACTCAGACATTTCCCTACTCAGACATTTCCCTACTCAGACATTTCCCTACATGACAATCTGTTCTTGTATATTGAGGGTCCTTCTACTTCTACAACATATGCCAAATAACTTGTTAATTTTTATGATTTTCCCATTACCATGAGCCTATGATGTGTACTTTTTATAGTGAGCATGACATTCCATTACAGTTCTGTATACCGTAATCTAGTGTTTTAAGTATGAATACTTGACACTAAAATAGGGGCCATTTCTGCAAGTAGTAAACATTTTGAAAAGTTCTTTTCCAAGATGTGATTATGGGAAGGTTTTCCTTTCTTTCTTTACAATCATTAGGATAACCTGGTATTCTGAAAAACTGAAATAATGCATAGAATTAAGGGTTACGTGTTTACATTGCCTGATTGTCTTTGGCTTTATTTACCATATATATTACAATATGAACCCATTTCAGTGAATCTTGTGATTTGAAAGGCTGATATGGCAGTCATTATGAAAACAGTTACTCTATATGCAGTTTATTTTAAGACTAGCACCATGTACCACATTCACAATCAATAAGAAAGAAATAGTTCTGAGTGTCTGTTTATTTGAATTTTCCTTGAATCCTAGAAATATGATTGTGGAAAATAGATTGTTAGTCATCATTCTTTTGTCAGCATCAGCAACCAAATATGAGGACATGTAGAAGAACGTTATCACAAAATTTCAATGAACACTCGAGTACTTATTGGGAATTACAGTATGTGTTTTGAACAAATCATGTACTATTTCTCTTCTCTGGCTCAGCCTAACATGTGACATGTACATTGCCTAATGAGGGTGAGTTTCTGTATCTTTGGTAATGTGTTTTTTGTAGGATGGCTAATGCACATAGTCAATAAGTTTAGTAATATGAAAGAAAAGCCTGGTAAATATGATTATGGACATCATGTATGACATACAGTTGAACATGATGTAATAGGTTTGCTTTTAATGCATTTCAGGTAAAATGTTCAAGAAAAAGAAGTATTGGTGTGATTTCAAAGGAGAATTACGACTGCCTTAGATTAAAACTTGAAGGAGGTGACATTCCCAATGATAGCAAGACTGTCAAGATTTACCATGTCTGCCAGAAAATACGGAAGTTCAATTTATCTTTGACAGAAATTCACAACCCTGTCCAAGGAGAATATAGATTGGAGATTATTGATGGGGACAGGAAAATAGTGATATCAAAGTCAGAACTTGATAATGTCATCAGCAAATTTTACACTGAGTTGCGGGGCTCTGGAGCAAAGAAAATAAGAACATTGATAAACCAGTATTATGCTGGCATTTCTCAGGAAGCCATACAAGACTTTATAGACAGGCAAGATGACAGGCAACTGTTACATCCTAAATTTGTTAATGCTGCCAAACTAAAACCGGTGATTTCAAGAACACCAATGGGGCGACACCAGGTTGACCTTGTGGAACTAACTGGAATGCCTGCAGAAAATGATGGTGAAACATTCATTTACATCTTGTCTGTTATTGATGTTTTCACAAGATTCTTGTGGCTTCGGCCTCTTCCCAACAAAAGAGCCTGTTCAGTGGCATTGGAACTCCACAAAATCTACTTTGAGTATGGATGGGGAAATCCAAGAATCTTACAGTGCGATCAAGGCTCCGAGTTTAAGGGAGCAGTCAACCAACTCTGCATAGAAATGGGAACGAAGATTGTCCGAAGTCGGGCTCACCATCCCCAATCTCAGGGAAAGGTGGGTGACAAATTTCAATCAAAACATGCGCACTATAAACGTTGAGGTAATAGATGTACATACTTAATAGTAAGAACATTAATGTTGATGTTATTTGGAACATGTCATCTTTAGGGCAGAGCCACACTTGCATGTGTTTGACAGATGACACCGGTGGGGCAGGATACACTAACCTTCGTGAACACCTGCTACTATCACTATTTTATGTTGATTCATAACACATGTTTATGATATTGATGGAATCATTAAGTGGACCCAGCTTTTAGAAGAGGCTTCTTATGATTATGGAAACTGTTTTTGTTATATATTTCATATATTTCATATACATGGTATAACACTTGTGGACACTTTTTGTGCCTGCCTAATCTGTTTACTATTTAGATGTTAATTTATTTCAGAGTGAACGATCACACCGGGATTGGAAAAGCCATCTGGAATTTGATCACAGCAAACATGGTGATGGAGAAAGCTTCAACTGGGTGGAAAAGTTGCCAGCATATGCTAGAATACACAATGAAAGCATTCATTCTGCACTTGGTAAAGTTTGAATATATAGCTTTAATTTAACGTGGGCATATGTCACAAAGTGTGAAGCACATAATGTAAGCATATACTTTTCAGACTGTAAGCATGGTAAATGTAGATGTGTGACATTGAATTTATTTTACGCACTGACCAATAAATAACCATTATGACACAGTTAAATGATGATGGCTCATTACAGAAGGTACAACAGTTTCATAGTTGACCAGGTATTGACCAAAATATAGTTGCATGCACCCTTCAGGCTACTGCAAATTTATAGAACTCTGGAAATATCAATATTGCCACAGTGCAGTTGTGACATTTATTGTTGAAGAAGACATGAGAAACACAGGCTTGTATATAAACATAATTCCTATGTTAACAGGTTGTTCACCATACAAGGCCATGCTGGGCTGCCCTCCAGTACACTTCAAGAATGTGTTGAGAGCTGGGAGTACAGTTGATGCATACTCTTGCTCTGAAGAAGATGAGCAGTGCGAACTATCTGCAGAGAGTGATGAGGTATGGAGGATTTATGTCATTACGCATAACAAGAGACAAACTCATCTCTATACCCCGCCCATTGTCTAGTTTTAAATACAATGATATGTGCAATCAAATGTGACATTGTAAATTATCAGTTTATCTCACCTCCTTGTAGAAGAGGTTGAATACAAGAGCTAATATAACATCTCCATAAACTTTGTACAACTGCCTTAGTAAAACTTTAATGATAAACAAAGGTTATAATCATCTTCAAGTTTGTGTAAGCTAAGAATATTTAGATATCATGCATGGTATTGTAGAGCATTGTTTTCAGGCAGGTATTGTTGCAGCCCTTTATAGGTACATGTAGTTATCAGAGTAAGGTACACGGTACAGATAAGGTACAAAAGTTGTAAGCATGCTGACACCTCAAAACCTGGTGAATTTCTAATACATCTACAATTAATGCTTTTATGGATTTTGTTGCAGTGTCTACTGGTGTGTCATTTAATTAGAATAAGAAAATAAATCATATTTTGAAGTTTTTTAAAGAAAAAAGACTATAATAGCCATAGACTGATATTGTACAAAGTTTCATGAAGATATCTAGAACAGTTTTCGGGTTCTGCTCTGGTAAACCCCACTGCTTCCATTCAGTTCAGAGACTAAGTCAAATTTCAAAACTTTATACAAAATAAAAAGACAAATTTGTAGGTGCAGGGGATAATAACTGTCATCGGGTCCTGTAAACCTGTGCAATAATGACAGGAGATGTGACAAGTAGAGACATGTACATAGAACTATTTCAATTGCAAGATATTAGAAGTAATGATATGTTTAGAATATGAGGTAAAACTACATGTGAAGTGGAAGTGATATTATTTGACGTTTATGTTAGATATGTGGATATAAAAACATGGTAAATGTAATTCTTTATTATTCTTTAGGATACTGGAGACGAATATGGCATTAATGAGAGAATAGAAGCAATCACAAACCTCAGGAAAAATGTGCTGCAGGCGTTACTGACCAAATCATCAGAAATGATTAAAAAACACCACAAAAACAAGGACACATCAGTGTACAAGATAGGGGATGAAGTTCTGGTGAGGGTTCATGGAAAAGATACCAGAGTCAAACGAGGTGGGCCCAAAAAAGGGATGAAAAAATGCAAGGAAGGAACAATTGTCGAAATAGATTCGCAGAACCCCCAATTCAAGGTTGCCTATCCGAACAAGCATGTGCAGTGGGAGCAGGTGTGTGACATTACTTCTCGGACAAGAAAAGAAGAGAAGAGGAGAAGAATGAGGACATATGAAGGTACATATCTATCTTGGTGGACTGCAAAGACATGATGTTTGTAATGTATTTGCTGTTTTTATCATTTCCTCCACCCAAAGTAAGTGCAGTTGGAGATACAGAAACGAGATCAGTGTGTCCATCTGTCACATTTTGTATCAAGAGCATTCAATATTTCCTCATGGACCCTCACAATTGGTGCCTTTTCCCATGATGGAATGTTTATAATATTTCATTTGCATTTTCATGGCAACAAGTTGGTTCAAATGAGTGTGGGGTTTGTTTCCAGAGCACAATTCATAAACCATTGCATATTTCTTCATGAAACTTTATATACACATCAGGCAGGCTCTGTTATTCTGCTATTCAGTTTCTTTGGTAGACTTTTATATTTTGCATTTCTAAGAAAATACCAAGTTGGACAGCTAATCAGAACAGTTATCAAAGATGATACAACTCATGTTGCTACTGCAGGTTGAAAAAGGTCTCCAGCAATACATGCTTGAGGTGACTAATTTGACCAGGTGATCGGGTAACTTGGTTTATTCTATGACATGGTACCCAGGCAGTGTGGATGTTGCTAATACTGCAGTGTTAATTAAAAGAGAAGGAACAACATCATATTTAAAATCAGGAACATACATTAATTAATGTTTTTGCTGCTGTGGAATTATGGTTCAGAATTTTGAAAGTATTATATGGATCATAGCAAATGTAATTACATGACATTACTAATTCACGACTTTGCAAGGTATTGAAATAATTTGGTGTAGTCATTAATTGTTATGTCATTTGTACTAAAATCTTAGGATTAATGTGGTATATGATACTTCCTGTGATATTATACATTACTTACAAGGGACATTCATTGGTTTGTCTTCTTGGAACGAAAGCTAACATTGACACAGGAGGTTAGGTGGTATACAAAACACAACTGATCAAGGGTCTGGAATCAAACTGCAGTCAATGGTTGAAGCATTTGTTGATTTTCAGTTCAGTTCAGTTCCTTAACCAGTTAAATTGGTTGCTCTGTGATATGTTGGTATGTGCAGAAGAAGGCATAAATGTGATAATTTTCATATATTTTTCTAACAGATGCTCGGCCAGATGCAAGAGAAGAGGGTAGAAAGCCACTCAAAAGGGGAAAAACACAGGATGAAAAAGGTATTACAATTTGAGACACCTCATAGGTATCTTCTGGAACGGTTAGTCTCCAAAACATTAGGCATATGCATGAATACTTGCATGCATGCATGCACAATAAGAAGGGTAATCAATACTTGTACAAATTTTCCACCTTTCAGAATACATTTACACATATTGAACACTTCAACGGAATAAATGTTTTCAAAATAAAATTAATGTAAAGCATTACTTTATCCTGAAGGTATATGCTTGCACTTGGTGATGTATGCTTGCATTTGGTGATGTATGTTTGTACTTTTAAGGAAAGGGAGAACAACAGGCTCAAACCAAGAGGAGAGGCAATGCAGAAACAAAAGGTAATATCTGAATACAGATGGGTACGATCAACAAGACTGATCAATCCTAGATGCATAATTATATCTGTTGGAAGGAGTACACAAATTCTCCATATGATGTTGTGTCAGTTGCTCATATGTCTTCCTGTATATCATGCACATCTGAAATGGTTCATTGTCTCAGCTGAAAAATACTACATCAGTACATGTATTGCAGAACATTACAGTTGTTTCCATAAAAACAATATACTAAGAGATATATTACAGGTCAATTTGTGTTACTTATATAATGTGTCTATGCAGGACGCAAGAAGACGCCAACTATGAAAGAACTGGAGATGGAGGCCTCATTCTATGACCTTGACATTGTGGACAATGAAGGGGCTGGTAACTGCATGTTTATTGCATTGGCTCAACAGCTTCAAATACATGACATTGACATAATCAGCCATAAACATCTGCGAGAAAAGGTTGTGCAATATGTGCATGTAAGTAAACAGTAATGCATACTTTCAATTTTCTTAGGGTAGGAATTTGATATAGTGAATAAAATGTGAAAGCCTAATTGGGCTGAAGCCATGTCCTATTTGTTTGGAATCATGTTATTCTCAGAAATCAGTGGACCAGCTGAAAATTTGGCATGCAAGTTTGTTCAGATTATTACACCTCAATGGATTTAAAAAGTTTATATTTGTTATCATTATGAACATTGATATGCAGTAAGAATGTTTTTTACAATAACGGCAGTACATTTGATTTGGTGAATTTCAATTTTTATCCAGTAATGAATTCAACATATCTTTTTTTGTGTTACTGAAATTTTGGCTTACAGGACGAAACCTCAAAGCTTATGAAGCAAAGGTTTGCTTGAATAGTATTAGTTATTATTGTCTCTGAAAAGTACTCACATATTTTGGATCTTATGTTAAATATGTCATTGACAATTTGCTCTCAACCTTTCCATCAAAAATATTTTCATTAATTCTTCTTACGTTATGTGAGCTAGAGAGTCATGGGGCTCTATTGGTGATGCCCTTGACATTGATTAAACTTCTTTATTTAAAACAAGATAAACGAATGGTTGTCCCAATGAAGGAAACATCCCTCAGGTCAGCCTGTTTAGTAGGGTATATTACTTTCAAATGTTTTGGATATATTATGAGACACCTCTTAATATTGAGAATTTAAGTTTCAAAATTGCATGACAGTTGTCAGATAAGGTGTGTAAAATAAGCTGAATATTCACTTTTATCTGCCACATATGTACATGTACAGTTCTAATAGGTTTCATACTTCCGCAGCTCATTTATGTTACATTATAAAATTTGTTTTACTTTTGACCTCATAAAGTGTTATCAGGACCTTAAAAGGCATTTAAAAAATGTGATGGCTGAAATTTTGTACAGAAAGGCTGTATACACATTTCTAAATGAGCAAGTCTAAAATTATTATGCAAAGTGGCTCTTTTAGGTTACAGTATAAACCACTGACTTTATATTCAGTTGGGCTGTATGAATAATTTCTGATACTTTATGTTTACCCCAATAAATAGGTTCAAGTAAATTTTGAAAGGCATATACCCGTAGATTGGGATGAGGTGAAATGGGACTAAACTTTGCATTTAAGGTAAATGCACTTATACAGCAAGCCAGTGAAAACTGTTTTTTCATTAGCTCATCTTGAATTTTCACTTTTTCCAATTTTGGGCAAACATAAAAACACTTGACCAAATTCATGGAACCTGATGAATTGCACAATTTCAATTCATTATCTATGCATGTTGCATTTAACATAAAGATGCAAGTACCAGTACTTCCCCATGGGGGTCATGCAAAATGGTATCTTCTGACAATGTGAGGTTTGTCACTTGTAGAGATTTTGTACCATTTTAGCTTTGAACTTAGATGACTATACAACACAACATTGAGTCATGTTTTTTTTTGTTTTTTTTTTTCATTTTATGTGTATTACATGTAGTATAAGAAGAAAGAAGAACAGTAACATTTCTCAGTCTCACACTAACTGAACATGTTTTAGGGCAAGCGGCGTCTGTTCAAGGACTTCGTGGATAAAAACCATTATCCAACATTCAGAGACTATATCATCAAGATGAAGATGTTGGGGGAATGGGGAGACAACATCATTCTGCAGGCAACAGCTGACCTCTATAAGGTGACCATCAGGATCATTACAACAATTGCAAATGAGCCTACATTCATTCGTCCAGCTGAATACCGAGGAGACATGCCAGTACTAAGCATAGGCCACTTGTGGGAGCTGCATTATGTGACACTCATACCAATGTCCACAGAAGGAGGTTTGTCCTTTATTGATGGTACAGTTAAAATAATTATGGCAGGTCACCATGTCAAAGCATTCAGAACTTGTGTAGGTTTTTGCAATATATACCTATAACATTACATATTACTCAAAACAGTTGACTCTGTCTTCACGCTGAAACAAAGCCCAATAATGCCTAGCATTGTGCAAGTGCCAGCATGTGCATGTTCTTTAAGTTAAGAACTAAATTACACTTGGATCGTCACATTGAGACCGTGGCATGTATCTATTATCAGATATAATTTTATGACATCTCTGACCACAGAGATATCAGTATATTACTATATTGGTACTGAACATTTCATATATTCACAGACTCATTGGAAATTAAGGATAAGAGAGCTAATATAAGTATACTTCTGACATTAACCATTTCATACTTATCATACACAGAAAAAACATTCTTGTGTTCATTCATATGCTTGTTACTTGTACAAGGATTACGCATACTGGTTCCACATTTCACATACAATCATGTTTCATTTTAAGAGAAAGAGACGGAAGCAGCTAATGACACCAAAATGGACACAGAAGATGAATCAGATTCAGATTCAAAGTATCCAATCAACACTGCTGTATGGGAACACAAGGCATGTCCAAACCCAATGCAACACCTGCAACAAGACATTTCCTTATTATTGTGTCAGCTGCTTAATGATAGATCCATTAATGTTTTCAGTATGAAATATTAACCAAAGATGATTTCAGATGTACTTTTGTTTTAATAAAAAAAATTCTAAAAATTATATCTGAGTAAACAGTACTCTTGTATTACCTTCATAAATGTTTTTGCCATGGTGCCTTCATATTTCACAATACATTATTTGAAAGTTTAGCTTAACAATTGTAAGAGGCACATGTCAGTTGCTGCCATTAGATACCTGATAAGAAGGTATTATTCACTCTCAGTAAGATGTTTTCTTAAACTTGTGTTAATGATGTTTCTCTTTACTAAAATTTATACAGAAAGAAAATGTAGTGGCACACCTGCAGAGAATTGCTGCAAGAGATGCACCGTGAGTTTTGTTGGCAGATAACTTGGAATGACTTTCAATCCAGATATAGTAATAACTGGGTTTTTATTCCAGTTGCTTTCTCATAGTGTTTGATTTACCCCTAACCTGTGTTTGTGGGTTTTACCAAAACGAAACAAGCTAAAACAATGAATTATTGAAGTACCAATAAAACACGAAGCACTAATGGATAGTCGCTAGCAACCTATGCTTGTCACACCAGGAGACTTAATGGATACTGTGTTAGAACTAGTCCCTAGCAACCTATGCTTGTCACACCAGGAGACTTAATGGATACTGTGTTAGAACTAGTCCCTAGCAACCTATGCTTGTCACACCAGAGACTCAATGGATACTGTGTTAGAACTAGTCCCTAGCAACCTATGCTTGTCACACCAGGAGACTTAATGGATACTGTGTTAGAACTAGTCGCTAGCAACCTATGCTTGTCACACCAGGAGACTTAATGGATACTGTGTTAGAACTAGTCCCTAGCAACCTATGCTTGTCACACCAGGAGACTTAATGGATACTGTGTTAGAACTAGTCGCTAGCAACCTATGCTTGTCACACCAGGAGACTTAATGGATACTGTGTTAGAACTAGTCCCTAGCAACCTATGCTTGTCACACCAGGAGACTTAATGGATACTGTGTTAGAACTAGTCCCTAGCAACCTATGCTTGTCACACCAGAGACTCAATGGATCAGGTGGTAAATCTCTGTGACCCTGGATGAATTTATGACATCATACATTATGACTGTGATAACTTTGCTCATAATATCAAAAGACTATTTGGTCTTGTTGAGACACAATATAGTATTGATTTTGCTGAGTGGGGCACTGAACAACAAACACTCATTTTAGATATGTTTTTCAGTGAGGAACAACTTCAAAGGCATGATGAGTTTGTCAGCGGCTTCCCAACACCAGACCGAAGAGTCAATTTTGCAGAGGGATATCTGTCTCAATATGTATGTACCTTCTCAAATGTGACAGTTGCCTCATATATTATTTTTAACAAACATCCTTCCAATCATTGCTCATGAAAACGTTACATAAAAAAATTTGTGAGCTATTTCAATACAAGACCATGCTTTAAGGATTGTGTACATGATAACTTACAGCCCTGTCATTTGGGACTCCTTGAAGGATCTGGTGGAATAGGAGAGCTAATGTTGTCTTCGGGGATATTCTCATGTATATATATTCTGGCAGCTTATTGATTCCTACAATCGATACCACCTCAATTTCAAAGGAATATCAGTCAAGCTGTCCATTCTTTTGATATATAAAAATGGGTTCAATCTGTCATTGTATTCTGTTGAGAACAGTGCACAGATTATTGAACAAATACCCACCTGAAGGTTTTTGGTTACACCTACTGAGAAAGTATTACTACTTTCATCACCAAATGAGACTTGGTAAACTACAATAACATGAAATTCATGTAGGTAAGAAGATACTATGACAATGCATTGAGATAACCTGTCAGATAGTTTTAAGAGTAAATAATTCATTATAGGTACTTTAGTACATTGAGGTTTGGAAACTGTGGCATAATAAGAATTGTTTTCCTATGAATAACACTGTAGACATAGAAGGAAGTAATCAACCAGTGTGAGAGCATGGAAGTCATACTGCATACTGCATTAAGTATATGTTTTGTCTGACTTCTACTAAAATCTGTACCATTTTTATTTAGATAATTTAGTTCATGCAATTACTAGATTAATTGGAATTGGACCTTCTTGTTGGATCTGTTCCTGTAGTAGCCATGTGCTCAGGTCCTTGCCCATCTGTTTCTTTATGCATATGAATCAGAACTTCTGCTTGGATTGGCAAAATAAAAAACACAGGAATTCAGTCAAGAATTTTGACTTTAGATTCCTGTATATCAATGATCTGAAATTGTTCAATAATGTAAGTAGCCATTCCCTTCCACTGAACTGGAAATAAAAGAGACTAGTACATCTGTTTTATATTTTGGTCTATGCATAAGGATTCAGAGTGATAGTAAAGTATACACAAGACTAGAACAAATAGGATGACGTCAACTTTCTAGTACTCAACTATGCTTTTATGTCTGACAATTTTCAAACAGCTACAGCCTTTTAAGGTACAATTGAGCGTGCTCTTTCTACAAAGTTTTTCAAAGAGTGCCATACAACTCTTGCTTCAAACTTGTTTGATCAAGGCTACAATATTCAAGGCCTCAGCAAGCTTTCAAAACATTTCATGGTAGACATGTGGAAGCCATTTCCAACTTGAATGCATTAATGACCAAAATGATGTCCCATGCAATTCCTTTTTTTGACTTGTACCATATGTTCCCATATTTATTTAGGTGTCACAAGTCTTGCCTTTGCATGTGTTTGTGATTGGTGTCATAAGTGGGAAATGACACCCTCACCTTTCTTTGAACACCCTGTATTGACAGTTGTTCATAAAAACATGCTTGTGATATGGTGAAACTCGTAAAAAAGACTTCCCTTTAAGCAGAAATTTCACATGATAATAGAAAGGGATTTGTTGATTTTTTTTTTTAATGTTTTTGAAAATGTTTTTTCAACTTTTATTCCCACACACAGTATTTTTATCTGAAAGTGCATGGTGGTAAGTCATGAGGAAATTGTGGTGCCCCTGTTGTCACAAGTACAATTTAAACACGTTCCAAATTAACTTGTGCTTTTAACTAAAACGAAATGTCATTAGTGTTGCTATATCTGCTTATATTTGCTTAAATACTTACTTCATTACATAACAAGACGTGTATTCCCTATATATTTTGCATACTTTTATTATTGTTTCAGATGCAGCAAAAAATGCTTCAATACTTGATATCAGCTTTGACATTAACAAGACTGAAAGATACACGGTATTAAATATTAATATTTTATGACACTTTGTGAAACAGGTTGTTTCAAATAATTCCTGATAACATACATTATATTTAAGTTTTGAGGTTATACCAGAGGAATGAGACAGATACCATGATTGGCTTAATGTTACATTTATTTGCATTTACTAAAAACGTATTGTAGGATTGGCTTTCGTTTTCATTCATGGAATGTCATGTAAATTTCTGATGAAGTACTCTACACATGACCCATATTGCCATCAAATAAGCAACAATGCAGGCAGTTAACTGCCAAACACACTGACATATAGACACTTCCACTTGACATGTAATAAACCAAGTCATCGTACCTGACCATCAGATAAATTAGGTTAGCATATGTTGGTATGGACCTATGTTCTGTCCCATGGGGTACTTACCCAACAGTTGACTATGATGAAATGATGGATTTCTTTGTTGATACAGGAGGATATACTCGGGGAGTATGCGACTGTTCAAGTGCAAGGTTGAAAAGAAGCTGGAACTTTTAACGCAAAAGCACATGATGTAAGAATACCTTTATGTTGAAAAAACACATGATTTACGCCACCGTGGTCTAGTGGATAGAGCATCCACCTGGAGAGAAGAGGGTCGTGGGTTCGACCCTCAGCCACGTCATACCAAAAGACGATAAAAGGTTGTACTTGTTCCTACCCTGTCTGGTGCTCGACAATAAGGGGCTAAAACAAGTACTAGTTGGGTCGGAGTCAGCAAACTGTATTAAAGGTTACACAATTTGCGTTAGCAATCTTTTAACGTCTTTTGGTATGACGCAGCCGGAGATCAAACCCTAATGTTCCTGCTCTCAGGGCAGACAATCTTCCTATAGTACATGGAGGAGATCAGCTATTTTTCTTTTACTCACCAAAAACCTTATTAAGGTATTGATAAGGAACATAAACTGTCATAATATGTTATGTTATAATGTCTTTCAACAATACACATGAGGAAGAGAATTTATGGATGTCAACTTCTTTATTATGAGGAACACAACATTTCAGAGTATACACTTACTCCTTCATCAGGTGAATGAATGCTATGAGGCAGAGAACATATATATATATGTGTGTGTGTGTGTGTGTGTGTGTGTGTGTGTGTGTGTGTGTGTGCGTGCGTGCGTGCGTGCGTGCGTGCGTGTGTATATGTACATGTAAGAACAACAAAAGTAATAAGATAACAAAGGTGGTAACTTAACAAGGGAAGCCAACTGATAATTGGTGCTGATAGGTGATTACCAAAGAAAAAATGGAAGCCAACACTTAACAGTAAATTGGCACTGACAGGTAAAAGAATAGAATGTTGCTCATGGGGTACACAGTTCCAGTGACTGTCATGTTCAAATAACAAAAGTCAGTATGAGATGGTCAAATATTTTTGCCTGTCATTGTACCCAGTAAATGTCATGGACTGGTTATCTGTCATCTGAGTAAACATCTTCTCCTTCGGGGTGGTAGGGCAGCCTACTGGTTAAGCATTCACTCATCAAGCTGAAGACCCGGATTCGATTCCCCATATGGGTACAATGTGCGAAGCCCCTTTCTGATGTCTCTCTTCTCCTTAGAAACCACATAAACAATGACACTGAAACATCACATACTTGTTCAAATGATGTCACATGTGTTAACCAAATATTTCAGTAAGGCTGCAATTTCGGGATATATTCATTGCTTTTTCTTTAAATAGTTCTATGACAATGAATGAATGACAATGCTTACAACAAATCCTGTTAGATGACTGGCTTTGTTGATATTTCAAACTGTTGCCTACATGTGTTGATGTCTTTGTGAGCTACGGTGCTTAGTCAATTGTTTTTACATAAACATATGTTTTTTCACACTTCAGAGCTGCCACAGATTACCTGATGTATGTTGGGGTAAAGGAAGCTATAATTCATATTCTGATGGATGTGCTGAATAAACCCTATGAAGAAGTCAACTATGAATGTAAATCAACAGAATTTGATGCCAGTCAAGTTCCAGGGAGGGGTGTCCACATCACTGTGGATGACGAATAATGATGGCTTGGTTCACACAGGGAGGTTTAAAATGCCACTGTTATACAGGATGACTGACTTGCTGGATGTGTTGTGATGATTGTGCTTGCACACTGATGTCAACACCCACATATATTATCTTTACAAGAAAAGTAATTTGATGTACATGAACCACAGTGACATGTCATTTTGTAACATTAGTATTTCTTTGTATGACAATGTGTGAATTTATTAGGGCTGCAACGGGTAACTCGGGTACCTTGGTCGGGTGGGTACTGAGTAGGACCCGGGTACCCACAGGACTGCCTGGACCCATGGTTAGTCATGTGATATATTGTTTAATGACAAAAATTATCTCGAACTCTATGCTTACACTAAAAGTCACTCATGTTCGCATTTCTTTCTGACTATGCACCCATTCCTTCTGACTTAGGCTCTTCTTTTGGCTACTGATAGTAAATCCCATTTCTAACTTGTGAGCAGAATATGAATGCTATGGGTCAATATTTATAAATTTAAGAGATTTTTGACTATATTATCACTCATGTCCCCTCGACCAGAAATGGGATAACGCCTATATACTTGACATATAATGGAATCTTAAGATTTTGTTTTGGCTACTGATAGTAAATCCCATTTCTAACTTGTGAGCAGAATATGAATGCTATGGGTCAATATTTCTAATTTTAAGAGATTTTTGACTATATTATTACTCATGTCCCCTCAACCAGAAATGGGATAACGCCTATAAACTCGACAAATAATGGAATCTGAAGATTTTCTTTTAGCTACTGATAGTAAATACCATTTCAAACCTGTCAGCAAAGCCTGAATGCTATGGGTCAATATTTCTAATTTTAAGAGATTTTTGACTATATTATTACTCATGTCCCCTCGACCAGAAATGGGATAACGCCTATATACTTGACAAATAATGGAATCTTAAGATTTTGTTTTGGCTACTGATAGTAAAAACAATTTCTAACTCGAGAGCAGAATATGAATGCTATGGGTCGATATTTCTAATTTTAAGAGATTTTTGACTATATTATTACTCATGTCCCCTCAACCAGAAATGGGATAACGCCTATAAACTCGACAAATAATGGAATCTGAAGATTTTCTTTTGACTACTGATAGTAAATACCATTTCCAACCTGTCAGCAAAGCCTGAATGCTATGGGTCAATATTTCTAATTTTAAGAGATTTTTGACTATATTATCACTCATGTCCCCTCGACCAGAAATGGGATAACGCCTATATACTTGACATATAATGGAATCTTAAGATTTTCTTTTGGCTACTGATAGTAAAAACAATTTCTAACTCGAGAGCAGAATATGAATGCTATGGGTCAATATTTCTAATTTTAAGAGATTTTTGACTATATTATTACTCATGTCCCCTCAACCAGAAATGGGATAACGCCTATAAACTCGACATATAATGGAATCTTAAGATTTTGTTTTGACTACTGATAGTAAATCCCATTTCTAAGTTGAGAGCAGAATATGAATGCTATGGGTCAATATTTCTAATTTTAAGAGATTTTTGACTATACTATTACTCATGTCCCCTCGACCAGAAATGGGACAACGCCTATACACTCGACAAATAATGGAATCTTAAGATTTTGTTTTGGCTACTGATAGTAAATGCCATTTCTAACTTGAGAGCAGAATATGAATGCTATGGGTCAATATTTCTAATTTTAAGAGATTTTTGACTATATTTTTACTCATGTCCCCTCAACCAGAAATGGGATAACGCCTATAAACTTGACATATAATGGAATCTTAAGATTTTCTTTTGGCTACTGATAGTAAATACCATTTCTAACTTGAGAGCAGAATATGAATGCTATGGGTCAATATTTCTAATTTTAAGAGATTTTTGACTATACTATTACTCATGTCCCCTCGACCAGAAATGGGACAACGCCTATAAACTCGACAAATAATGGAATCTTAAGATTTTGTTTTGGCTACTGATAGTAAATGCCATTTCGAACTTGAGAGCAGAATATGAATGCTATGGGTCAATATTTCTAATTTTAAGAGATTTTTGACTATATTATCACTCATGTCCCCTCAACCAGAAATGGGATAACGCCTATATACTTGACATATAATGGAATCTTAAGATTTTGTTTTGGCTACTGATAGTAAATCCCATTTCTAACTTGTGAGCAGAATTAGTTAGTCACATGATATATTGTTTAATAAAAAAAATTATCTAGAACTCTATGGTTACACTACATGTCACTAATGTTCGAATTTCTTTTCATATGGTTGAATAAAGATATATAACTTAAGTCACCTTCAGTGTATGCATGACCAGATTGTTTAATTCATGTATCTAAATACGTTTTGCATGTACTGTGGTAAAAAAAATCACAATCGGACATTTTGTATCTCTTGAGACCTTACAGGTCAGATAATAGTGGGGTGGGGCCCCGGGTTGTAAATTTGGACTCGTCCCAGCTCTAGAATTTATGTACAATTATTTGAGAGAGATGGTTTGATATTTGTGTATATTGGATGTTGCCATGTAATGACCATTGGAATAATAAAGTGATGCCACATTTCTACTCTGTCTGAGTTCTGCTCATGACAGTAAATCATGAAGACTGCACCAACTCTATGCATGTCTGCCAAGGGAAGTGTGGGAAACTGTGGCTTTCTGCCACAACTCAGAAAGTTGTTGATGTGTAATTGTTATATATGCACAGAATGTCTGATGTGTGACATTATGCTGTACATTTTCATATTGTTATGTGTCAGTTTAATAATAATGTAATAATAATGTCTCACATTTTTACATATTTTGTTTCTTTGGACCATTTTCTGAAACGATTACTTACTGGTAAATAACATGGACACTTAATACGAACATGGAAGGTAATACAAGTGGTTGTATGAAAGTAACTATTAAACCACTACACAAAGATTAATTATTTGGGGGATTATTCTTCACAAGAGTTTTTCAAAATGTTCCTGGGGAGTTGTTTTGGTAAAATGTCCATGACACAAGACAAACACAATTGTGGTTACGCTTTGCAAGTAGGGGGTATTCATGCATTTATCAAAATTGTATATGCCTTCTTTATTATGTGTACTTGCTTTGTTTAGGCTTTGGTTAAAATTATTAAAGGTTAAGGTCTGTGTTCTGATATTTGCAAAACACATTTTAATTATTGTATGAGGCATGGTTTTCTCTGTAGACATGAAACTATATATGTACATCCTTACAAATACTGCCACATTAAATGTTAGTGCTATATATGTCAATGTTCAAGGTGACATTTGAGGTTATTGGGACACATGGTTGTATTAACTGTATTACTTGTGTAATGCAGAGACTGGGTTATATTTGGACGAAAAAATTGTGATGGTTTGGACTTGAAATACATGGTAGTTTTTTTAAGACATTTTGAGTAAATGGAAATGTTTCTGATTTTGCAAGTATTTTTAAACATTTGCTAGTTACATTGGTTTGCATTCTAGAAACATTTAATTCCCATGAAAATGACGTGAATAATGGTCTTTGTCATATTTATGTAACCTCCAGGTTTATGTTCATTTAATGTTAAGGAGCCAATGGCTATCATTATTCATCTGGCATTTCTTGTGTGTTAGATTATTTTGCTGACTTATTTCAACAGCCATAAAAATATATTTGTGTCTACCAATTAAGCGCTTGAATACCACATATGATTATATTTAACATAATAATCATTTAGTCTACCTTGTTGCAATACGGTTTAGAACAGGACCCCAGCAATCTATTCTTGTGATAACAGGCGACTAAATAGATCTGGATGTTAGATTTGGTGACTTTATTGATGGTGTGTCATCGTACCCCGATGGTGTGGATCGTTGCTCATAATAGGAATGACTGATTTGTCTGGTCTGAATTTGCATACAGGTGGCTGGAACATGGCTGAATAAAGCATTAAACAAGAGTGAAAAAAGTATAAAAAATATATGATCATGTAGTTTGCATATGTTGTTGTTAGCTAACAATTTCTTATATGTTTGTTTGTTTGTTTCTTATGTGCCTCAGATTTGTCATCAATAATATACATAGGTTGTTTTGTATTTTTGTAATAAAACATCTTCAATGAACTTCATTTCTTTTGTCATGTGAAGTGAATACACCAACAACTAACCCCAGGAGGTGATGGATGTCTACAATCTGACTTCTCACACAATGTCAACCTTGACAAATGTACCTTGAAAAGCTTATCTATGTTCAGCTACATACACTTCTTTCTTGTATTAAGTTATCATTGCATGAATGTCCAATCGTGTGTCACAAACTAAAAGCCAATGTGAAGCTTACACCATCTCTAACTAGAAAGTGTTTTTACTCGTAAAAACATATGTCTCCCCCCACTCCCCTAACCCCCATTCATTCGTTAATTTCACGTTAAACCCCATCTCTTCATTCCCACCCTCCATTACTAAATAACAGAGACAAAAATAGAACTCCTAGAAATTTCAAACAACTAATGGGCACCACTTCAGTGCTGGATTAATGTGTATACAAAGTTTCGCGAAAAAATATTAAACGGTTTCTGAGTTATGGTCAGGAAACAAAGCTTACCCCCATTCAGAGCCTATGTTCAACTTATCTCCATGGAAACGAGAAAAAATAAAAATGTCAAAAATCTCTAAATAGCAAAAGGCACCACTTCAGTGCTGGGTTAATGTGTATACAAAGTTTCGCGAAAAAAATATTAAACGGTTTCTGAGTTATGGTCCGGAAACAAAGCTTACCCCCATTCAGAGCCTATGTTCAAGTTATCTCCATGGAAACGAGAAAAAATAAAAATGTCAAAAATCTCTAAATAGCAAAAGGCACCACTTCAGTGCTGGGTTAATGTGTATACAAAGTTTCGCGAAAAAATATTAAACGGTTTCCGAGTTATGGGCCGGAAACCAAGCTTACCCCCAATTCAGAGTCTATGTTCAAGTTATCTCCATGGAAACGAGAAAAAATAAAAATGTCAAAAATCTCTAAATAGCAAAAGGCACCACTTCAGTGCTGGGTTAATGTGTATACAAAGTTTCGCGAAAAAATATTAAACGGTTTCTGAGTTATGGTCAGGAAACAAAGCTTACCCCCATTCAGAGCCTATGTTCAACTTATCTCCATGGAAACGAGAAGAAATAAAAATGTCAAAAATCTCTAAATAGCAAAAGGCACCACTTCAGTGCTGGGTTAATGTGTATACAAAGTTTCGCGAAAAAATATTAAACGGTTTCTGAGTTATGGTCTGGAAACGGTGGGAACGCCGACGCCGACGCCGACGGGAACCGTGCCAAAAACAATATGTCTCCCTCCATTCTGGGGGAGACATAATTACACAAACATTATTTAGTTCCTACATAGGAGTATCCTCTTCTTTCTTCAGATTTGAACACACAATTTAACAGCAGACAAAATGCATGTATAATTTGATGTTAAGAAGGTGTTCTATTCAT